TATACTGGAAAGAACCACTTCCTTCAATGGGAAAGGAAAACAAATAATGAAGAGACAAAGCTGGGAACACTTGTGGGAGCTGGGAATAACCAAGCCCAGGCTGTGCATGTGAAGAGATGAGGAGCTCCCGTTTCCCTGGCTGTTCCAAAGTTTCCAACATGATGGACTTCTCTCCAAGGATGTGATGGCTGAGAGTGTAAAACTAAAGAGCAGCTCAAAGGCTTTCACTCTTACCCAAAAATCCATCTGCCAAACATGGCAGACACTGGAAACTCACTGCCCAAGGACTTGGATGGTTCAGGGAAGGGAATACAGCTCTTAAATACCCCCATGCCTCTAAGGACACTTGTCATTTCAGATCTGTGCTGCTGTTAGGAATCAGTTTTTGCTAAAAAATGCGTTTTAAAGGCAGTTCCCATCTCCCTGAATATCCGAGGATATTTCCAGTTCAATACTCCAAAGTCCTACAGTACCACCATCATCTCTCCAGGCATGCAGGGAGAAGGAAGGGAGAGGGAACCTTCTAGTTCTGCCAGGAAAATAAGGCAGAGCTGGAGGATCCAACTGCTGGCTCCTTAAGGACAAGTTGGGATGGAAGCCCAATCCAACCTTCTTTTTATGGAGCAGCTAATGTGATAATATCTAAGAGAGAAGGAAACTTGACACAGACAGAGGGAAATCTTAATTCTCAAACAGACCAGAGGCAATTACCAAAATTATAGCAAAGGAATTGTTTTCTTGCAGTCAAGCATAATTATGTAAAGTCTATTGGAAAGAAAGCTTAGGCTATCATTTGCATTTCAATTAATTTTCAAACTTTTGTGTGGAGAATTGATGGCCAGAATTGAGAAGTACAGGAACTACCAGACACTGAAACACACTCATCAATATAATACAGGATTTCCAAGGATACAACTCAGATCACGTTCCAGCGTTTAGGGCTTTTTGGTGTTTTTGCAATTAGCCTATAGAAAATGGAAAAAAATGTAGAGGGAAAGAAAAAAACACCAGTGCTACCACCTGGCTCTGCTGGGTGGTACAACAGGACAAGAGGCAATGGGGAGAAACTGGAATGATGGAGTTCCTCCTGAAGGGGAGGAAGAACTTTGCTGTGAGGTGACCATGCACTGGAACAGGCTGCCCAGAGGGGTGTGGAGTCTCCTTCCCTGGGGGCAGTCAAAACCCACAATCCCAAGGATGGTGGACACAATCCTGGGTTACCTGCTCCTGGGGATCCTTCCTTCCTGCCGGTCTGACAATCCCAAGTCATCACTTCCACATGTTAAAAAGGAACATTTCTGATTTCAACTATCTGCAAAGTTCTGCCCAATCGCCTTACAACTTTATTGATTGTAATTGGCTCTTCCTCCTTCAGCCCAAGAATTTCACACAAAATTCCAATTATACAATCCAGCATGAGACAGCCAGAGATACAGACCCTCTAACAAGCTTAGACAAAAATCAAAGGGCTAAATCAAAAACTGGCTCACACCAAGTCTATTCTTTGTGCAGTCAACCAAGACTAATTAATGCTTTTAATGGCAGTTTACCCCTTTTGGCGCCATAAATCAGAGCAGGCAGCTTTTCTGAATTAACAAAAGAATCTGTGAAAGGTGTAGCTCATTAAGCACACTCCCAAATTCAAATGCACTTAATCAGAACCAGGTACACTGAGCAGGACTGCAGTCCAGGAGCAGAGCAATCTGCAGGCTGTACACAGGGAACATTCATTCATCAACACAAACAAGGCTGGCACGCTGGGAAGAGGGGCTGAATTACACATCTGAGAGAAAGGCCCTGCTTCCAGCACGGCCTTTGTGAGGGCAGGAATGTGGAGAACACTGCAGGAAGGCGCTGTGGAAAGGTGGGGGGACAGGGAGGGTGTTTCCCATCAGCTCACCTCAGCCACAGAGCCTTGAACAGAGCACAGCGCTGCTGCTGAGCTGCTGGAGCAGAGGCAGACAAGGCACTGAGGGGATCAGAGGGATGGAGCAGCTCTGCTGGGAGAATTGGGAGTGCTCAGCCTGGAAAAGAGAAGCTTTGGGGTGACCTAATGGGGACCTTCCAGGACCTGAAGGGAAAGATGGAGACAGACACTTCACTAACTGACAGAGAGGCTTAGACTGGATCTTAGGAAGAAATCCTTCCCTGTGAGGGTGGGGAAGCCCTGAGCAGCTGTGGCTGCCCCATGCCTGGGAGCATTCCAGGCCAGGCTGGAGAAACCTGGGATAGTGGAAGGTGTCCTGGTGGCACTGGATGGGCTTTAAGGTCCATTCCAACCCAAACCATTTGGGGATTCTATGATGTACCTAAATATGATGGAATAGATCACATACAGTGAATAGATCACACACAATGAATTTATAAAGATTAATGGCCCAGCCATTCTGTTACCCATCCTAGGTAACAGTCTTGATTATACTTCCCTGAATCAGATCCACTCCTCTAAAAAAATCCCCTTTTAAAACGTTTTTGCCACAGTTTCTGCCCAATCTCCCTTCCATCCCTGCCCTCTGGCAGTGGGAGCCATTCCCTGTGTCCTGTCCCTCCATCCTTGTCCCCAGCCCCTCTGCAGCTCTCCTGGAGCCCCTTCAGGCCCTGCCAGGGCTCTGAGCTCTCCCTGGAGCTTCTCCTCTCCAGGGGAGCAGCCCCAGCTCTGCCAGCCCTGGGGCCTCCTCTGGACCCTCTCCAGCAGCTCCAGGTGCTGCTGATGTTGGTGGCCCCAGAGCTGGATGCAGCACACAACTTGGCTTGACAGAAATCATTTTCCATATCACATGTTCTCTGAAAGGAATTCTGTTCCCCAAAACAGAGCTGGCAATGCAGGAAAACTTCAGATCTGTGAACAAAAGGATTAGCTCCTGCTCTAAAAAAAAAAAAAAAAAATCACTAAATTTGTTCCCAACAGCATCAAAGTGTCCAAGAGCTGCTGGCAAATTGCTCCCCTTCAGCTCTGGATTCAGTGCATTCCCAGCCCAGTGAAGACCCCACCAAAGTGGCAGAAATGCTCAGGAGACCTAAAGTCCAGAAATTTTCCACATGAGTTCAGAAACGTTGAGGAGCACAAGTATAAAGTCCAGGCCCAGTTCCAAATTCCACTCACACACACTGGATAAAAACCAGCCTAATGTAAGAGCACATTTAAAAATATTTACATCAAACCAAAGCATTACAGAGATAAGAGAGGTATTTATAGAAACACATGGATTTCACAGACACACCGTGTTTAACTACTTAATTGCTGGAATTTCAATTAGAATGGGAGGAGTGGGGTATTTCCCAAGCAGGAAACAACCTAAGTAAGCTAAGGCATGGAGCACTCACACATTCAAGTTTAACTCAATTTCCTCCACCTTTTGATTTCTGAATGAACACTGAGGCTAACAGGGAGGGGTTCAACCCAAGATAAAGTCACCCAGAAGTAAATATTTGCTGGAGATGCCCAGCAGGGCAATTACAGCCTGGAGAGCAACCTCAGTCTGCTTGGACAGCCAAATCTCCACAGGCTCCATCAGTTTCATTCTTGAGCTTCACATTTCTTAATCTGGAGCTGGATTGGATCAGGAGCTTCCTTATGCAAAGCCAACACTCCACATATTCCCACTTGAAACACGATCTGGTTCCCTGGATCTCCCACCCATCACTTCCAGCCTTACTTTGTGTCCCTTCTCCCATCTCACCACCCACCAAACCCACCCTTGGCTTCGCCTCTCCCCTTCCACAGCTCTGCATTTCTTCTGTTTTTTCATTTATCCTTTTTTCTAGCATGAAGAGGGCAAAAAGGGGAAGCAGGAGATGGACAGGGGATCACTGTTGTTGCCTCAAACAAGGAAAAGCTTTCCTGAAATCCTTGCCATTCTCTGTCCCATCCCACCTAAGCAGGGGTGGCAGGAGAGGAAGAAATACCCAGACTTTGTCTATATCTATAAAGGAGGCATTGATTTAGGGCAGCTTTTCCCAAAGCAGGGCTGCAGTGCTAAATTATTGTGAGGATAAGGGTCAGAGCATGCCCAAAGGTTTGATCCCAACGCAGTGCAGCAGACCCAAGAGCAGCTGACATTTAAAGTTCATGTCATTAAGTGAGCAGCAAAACATATAAAATGGAAAAAACCACAGAGTCAAGCCTGGTTTTTCCATATTCTTGTACAAGAACAGCTGGATCGGGTCAGACAGACACTTCGGCCGTCCCTGTGTCTTCTCTGCCCAACAGGGAAGTGTGAATCCCTAAGGGAAAATTGAAGGGCAGGCACACAGGGACATTTTCCCAGCATACTTTCCAGAGGGATTTCCTGAGGGGATATGTTCCTGTTTCACAGCTCCTGTAGATCATGCTGTCCCACTGCTATATTAAATTCTCTTACACATATATATAAAAAATTACACATATATATATAAAAATATATGTACATGCTCAAAAGGCTTGACCTGCTCAGGTCTCATCACGCTGGGCTCTATACACCAAAATAAGGAGTTAAGACAAAAACTGCTCCAACCAAATGACACTGCAAAGTTGCTATTTGAAAACAGTTTCCAGCTTTCTTCTCCAAAGAAATAGAAGCTATCAGACAACAATTTGCCTGTCTCCAGGCAAATGACAGAAGTTTATATCAGGAATGGTGTCTGTGCCAACCTGGGGATTTTGACCCAGCTAATGAACACAAGTCTCCTTTTTAATACAGAACAAAAATGTATTACTTACTAGGAAGATATTAAGACCAATAAACACTAAAAAAAGAACCCCTCTCACAATTCTTTATAGGAGCAGCACATAAGTACTGTGTGTTTTACTCAGGCTGCTGAAGACCTGATGTTTGTTACCTTTCTAAATCAACACAATAAAACACACCAGGCACACAGTATTGCTGGAGCTTCAGCTTACGCATTTCTTGACCCAGAAATTCTCCAGAGCATCCAAGGCTTTCCTGTCTGGAGGGAGCAGGGAAAGGGCTTTGGGAGGAGCAGCTAAAACTGAAGGGCACAAAGACAGGAAGAATTGGTACCTCTTGGACAGAAGCTTCCTTGGGATGGAGATAATCCGCAGAGGAGTGTGCCTGGGCTGGGAGTCTTCACAGCATTCCAGAGCTCTGCAGCAGCAAGAGAGAGAGAGAAACACCCGTGAGGCTCTGTGGAAAACCTGCTGGAAGAAAACACAGCTCTTCCCAGCTCAGAGTGGCCTTCACCTCCACTGGAGCAGAAGGAGAAATGGGACATGTAAGAAATGCAGGGGAAAAAAGGAGGAGCGCTGGAGCCGCAGGGCACGAGGAGAGGGAAGGGACACCAGAGCTGGCAGTAAGAGCAAGGCCTTCCCAGCTTCCCAGAGGGAGAAAACAAAGTCCAAGCTTTCATTTAAATACTTGTTTACCAGCTATTTGTCAGGATTTGGGACTAAACGGGTTTTAGCCTGAGTTTTGCATGTTACTCCTACATCCTCCCTTCCCAGCTGACACAAAAGCTCCGAGAACTGAAAATGAAATCCCTCAAAATGAAGTGCAGCACCCAAAAAAAGCTCTCGAGGCACTCCACATGCTTTATGCATTATAGGGAGGAACAGAAACCCTACTGTTCCCAAAGCAGGACCAGCTCCTCGGAACAGTTGTTTATTTTAATCAACCCAGCACCAAAAGGTTTACATTAAATATTTTTTCATGGTTTCTAACCACTGATCCTGTATTAGTTTACATTCACTCAAAAAACACTCTGGGGGAGAAAGCAGGAGGCAGAAAACATTGAATCCAGTAAAACAACTGAGGGTTTTTTAGGGAGTGCTGGTACATCCCACTTTTCCCTGTAGAATTACACCACCAGACCCTTCCAGCCAGCTAATGAAACAGCATGAATTTGTCAGTGAACAGAAAACAGTAAAATCTTCATCTTTACTCAATCTTTCCTCTTCCTGCCTCCTGCAGGAAGCCACCACCTGCCATCAGAGCTGGCATCCTTGGAAAGAACTTAAAACCCACCCTGCTGATGCTCCAATGGCCCAATTATCCAAACCCTGGTGCTAGCAGGAGCATGAGCATGCTCAGGAAAACAGGTCAGGAACATCTCCACCTGTTGCTTCCACGGGTGCTTGGCTTCAGCATTTCTACATTATAAGAAGCATATTCATTGCTTGGAATTTAATTCTGGTTTCAGGCTTTTTGACTTGTTTTTATGGCCCTTCAGTTCAGAGATAGAGCCCTAAAATATCTTCAGGAGAGAGAGGAAAGCGTAAGTGAATTTCAGCAGAGACAAGGACTTGACAAATCTCATCCCATCAAGCTCTGCAGTGGCAAATTAGTCTTTCTCAGAGCACATTCTGTACTCAAAGTAGCCTCAGTACTTCAGGAGGTACCAAATATAACACAGCCCCATTTTAACTTCCTTCCAGGAATACACACACTCATTTATTAAGAAGACGTGGGCTGCAGCTCCACTTCCAACAGCTTCAGTAACATTTTGTAAAATTAAACAAATTACTCCTTTTGTGGCAAGAGAGAAGCCGAAAATAAGTGCTCAAGCAAATGGGGGAGAAAACCACCTCCCTCACATCTTCCTCCCCCCTTGGATTTTGGGAAAGCAAGCCTTGCCTGCTGCACCAGGCTCAGCATCAGCCACAGCATCACCAAGCACTCCTTGGCTGCTTTCACACCTCAATCCCCACACCTCTACCATCATTATTTCATTGCAGAGCTGCTCTGACACCTCAGTTTGCTCCAAGTCCCCATTTTGGGGTATTTTCACATCCTCATGCGTGTATAAACCAAGGAAGTCCACAGCTCTTGCTGACAAGCACTAAAGGTGAGTGTGCAATGGTGCTGAACATCCAGAGGGTTTCCAGGATTTGGCAGGAGGACAGCACTGCCACAGCCTCTAATGCTGAGGGATTCTCCAAACATTCCCCCTTTTGTTCAGCTCTGGCTGCTGCAGAGAGGGAGAAGAACAGTGCCCACCTCTCATTAACCTTGGTGCCGCATCTTTCACTATCAATACCTGCTTGCATTGTGCTGCCACTCAGCAGATCTACCCTTTTTTGGATTTTTTTTGGCTCTTTTTCTGTCTTTTCCTGACCAGAAGTCAAAATGGTTCAGTTCAGAGGGAGTGGATGCTGCTGCTGCTGCAGAGAGAAGCTGTGAAAAGCTGCAGAGAAGGAATTGCCAGCACACATCCCTGCCCTCTGCCACTGCTCAAAAACCAGCAGGCAACAGGCAGGATGGACCAAATTTGGACGTATTTACAGAAAAACAATCAGTCCCAATCAGTGTGTTTGAGTGGAAGTGCAAAGACATTCATTAAAGGGGGAGAAAAACCAGATGAATTTGTGAGAAGGTAAGCCTTTGGAAAATCCAGGGACACAGCACAGTGCTGAGAGGTCCTGTTGGCACAGCCAGGTTCATCAGGAGTGTGATCTGGGATTTAGTCAGGGAAAACTTCAAGAACACAGAAAAACCAGCCTTGCCTGCCTGTAGGGCACTCTGTGCCAGAGTCTCCCTATCCTAAAAGCCAAGAATCCCTTCCCAATATTCCATCTAACCCTGCCCTCTGGCAGTGGGACACCATCCCCTGTCTCCTGGCACTACAAGCTCCCATGACAAGTCCCTCTCCATCCCTCTTATCAAGTCAAGCAAAGACACCAAGGCAGGTTCCTGCAGCCCAGAATTCCTCCTTCCCTTCCCACTTTCTTCTTGCTAAGAAAGAGATTAAATCCCTTAATATTTCCCAAGATTACTGCAGCTACTAAGTAGGGAAGATCATTCCCTAACATCTCCCTCAACTCCATGTGCTCCTGTGCAGCAAAACAAGATTTTTAATTTTATCCTCCCTCCTATGCCCCAAATTCAGTTTTCTTCTTTTGTTTTATTAGCTATATTTCAATCATGATCCTATTACAATTATTCTTCTGTATTTCTCTCTGAATCCATTATTTTCCTTCTTCTTTCTACAAAACTGGACTCCAGTGGTAGGAGCTGGGTGGATGGATTATAAAATGTATTGAGTTAATTAGGATGTGGTGATTAAAACACCTGCTTTGGTAGATTGTAGAGGGTTCTGATAAAATAGTGGGAGCATACAAACACACTCCACAACTGCTTATCAAATGAAGATAAAAACATTCAGCAAATATCTGACACTCTGCAGGGTTAAATCCTATTCCACAACATTTAGGGTTCAGCCTTCTGAGCAACCAAACCCCTCAAAATGGAAAAGTTCCCCAAAAGTCAACGTTCACTTTCTTTACTGCCTGTTTTCAACAATTTTCCCAAACTTCTTCTAGAAGTGACTCTGGAATAATTATTTTCACTTGTGCAAGTTATATATTATAAGGCACCTCGGGGTTTCTAAATCACAAATGACTTTGTAATGAAAAGAAAACAATTTCATTATCTAAGATTATTGTTAATTGAAGGAAACATTGACTGTACTACCAACAGCAGTCAACCTTCAGAAAGTGCAGCATTAAAAATTATATGCAGCCATTGTCTTAGAAATAAAAATAAACCTCTCAGTGAGAGCAGCCTCAGAGGCCTTTTCCTCTATTTAAAAATAAAAATAATAAAATCAAAGCAAAACACCCCAACACAAGCCTTCCCTGCATTACAAAAGAGGGATTAATGAGAACCTATTTGGACACTGGGAAAAGCCCTGGCAGGTTCATTGTGAAGGTTAATTCAGACTCCTCTACTCACACAGGGAATGGAATTAAAGAAACAGAATTTAAAGGCAATAATGTTACACCATGAGCAAGGAGACACCACAGAGGATACCAGAGACATTTGTCATGGAGCCTAATGCACTTAGGACCTAAATTGTGGAAGGATAGGGCAAAATGTTAATGAATGTACACAAATTATCCAGAATGGATCTGAATTCCATTCTGCTCAGGGCACATTTAAAAAAAAACAAATTAAAGATCCACCTGGAGCAACTGGAAGGGAAAACATCTGTGCAAATACCTAGCAGGAAATAAAGGCATGGAAAGAAATAATTTTGGGAGGCAGAGAACATTGCAGGAAACCACAGGGTCGTTCCTGGCTGGAAGCACCCTCCTGTCTTTCCTCTCCTTAAAAACTGGCAGCTGCCTTGGAGCCACCAGGAGCGGCCCAGAGCTGTGGATCAGGGAAGGGATCAGTTAAAAAGAACCTGGGTTTGCTGCTCCCTGATGTGAGCCAGGGAGCCCAGCACTGGGAACAGGCACAGCTTCACCCTGGGGTCAGGAAATGCAGGACACAGCCAGTGGAACCGGGATGGAGCAAGAGGGGCAGCACCAGCAGCAATTCATCCCAGATTCCCCAAACACTGATGATGTTCAGGAAGGAAAGGCTCCCAGGGCTGCCTCCGCCTCCTGAGCTCCCTCCTGCCAAAGCCCCATCTCCAGCACTCAGCTGGAATTATTGGGTTTGGCCAGGCAGGAGGGGAAGGAGTTTTTAATGAATAGGGTTAAAAGGGCCTGTGGTTCGGCAGCCCCTTGCACACATCCACCATGGCAAAACATCCCTCCAGGAAAACTCCATGGAACAACACAAAATGACTCAACATCTCCAGGTGTGCAATGAGCTTCTAAAATTAGATGGTTCTTGAGACTCCAGAGTATTAAATACCCCAGGATCCTCCTTCATTTTTCACATGCAGGATCAAAGTGAGAACTCAAGAGGCAAGGAAAGGGAGGAAAGCCTTAAACTGGCAAAGTTGGGCATTGTCCTTTTCCAGGAACATCCTGTTGGCTCAGCCCCCAACAAAGACAAGTGACACACATCAGGATTGCGAATGTCACCCTGACATCACTTCCACTGCATCCTTAGAATAACTTTCCCACTTGGAGGATGCCAGCAGCAAGCCAGAAGGGCAGAGCGAGCTTAGGAAAAGCAGCAAATCCCATCTGCATTTTCACTCACTCACAGTTACTGATTAAAACAAAAACAAAAAAAAAAGAGTCTAATCCCCTGGAAAACTGGAGAGGTTGCTTTTGGAGCCAAAGAGCAGGAAAAGGACAAGTGCTACTGAAATATCAGCACTGGGCTCCCTGCTCCTGTCAAGCCCTGCATTTCAGGTGCTGAGCTGGGAGTCGATGCAGCAGCAGGATGGGTGGGTTCAAGATATTTCAGTC